AGGGGAAACCCAACCTGCACAGGGCAAGGTATCAAAACTCCCAGCTGTGCTGAAAAATATAGGAAATGATGGAGAAATCCTAAATCCTTTCTCCTGGGAGAGAAAAATCATGCCCTGCATTCGTGGGGTGAATGAAAGAAAGAAAGAAAGAAAAGAAAGAATGCAGAAAGAAAATGAAAGAATTGGGATTTTCTTAGAGGAAATCTTAAAGGGAAACAGAGGCAAGAAGAGTTAAATGTTGACCCAGAGCCTGGTGCAAAAATTAAAGGAACAGAGAAGAGACACAGAAGCAAAGCTGCAAACGAAAAATAAAGAGGCAGCATCTTTAATTACCAACACTTGCAATAAAGGAGCAGGAAAATGTCTTAAGCTATAGGAAAAATTAGGTTTCCTTTAATTTATAAAGGAAAGTCAAGAGAAAGAAACAGTTTAAACTTAATTAATAGAAGAAATTGCAAAGGTAAACTACCCAGGGACATATTAAAGGATATTCATAATTCCCCAATAATCACATTTAGCAGCTCCATTTTTTTTTTCTCTAAGAATTAACCCTATGAAATTCATGATCCTAAGTTATGGACCCTGTGAGTTATGTAGGAGTGATTTTCTCACTTTAAAGACAATGAAGGAAAGATATGGCCAAAAAAAATAGTATAAAACCAGCAGCTGCTGATGGAAAATAAAGTGCAAAGTTTGTTTATTGTAGAGAATGAAGGGAAACAACTAATGGGGGATTGGGACAACACTCCCAGGGACAAGGGGGGATTGTTGGGGTGTCCTGGGCAGGGCCAGGAGTTGAACTGGATGATCCTTGTGGGTCCTTCCAGCTCGGATATTCCATGATTTTAGGAGCTCAGGAGCATTTTCAGTGTCAGTCTCCACCCCAGACACCAACATCGAGGCTCTCACCTTTCCTGCCCCTCCTGCTTTTCCATCATTCCCACACTGCCTGTCCTCGAGCACCTCGGGGCTACTGAGAGCCAGCAAATCCCTTCACAATGGGATTATCCAAGGAGCCTTCAAGGATCTCCAGGGAAATTTCACATCTGTTTGAAAACAGATGCATCTTTTTGATATATATATATATAAAATAGATATGTTTTACCAGTGGCGCTGCAAGTATCAACCAAGCAGGACTGGCCAGGAATGGGTGGGAGGAGAAATGGGTTGAAGGAAGGATAAATTTGCACTTATGGCACTTGTTTTCTCAGAAGTGACTCAGAGCTCTCAGTGAAGTGGCAGCATGTGCTGTTTGCCAGAAATAAAATCTACATTCATTCATTCATTCTGTTTTTGGTTTTTTTTGTTTGGTTGGTTTTTTTGGTTTTTTTTGGGTTTTTTTTGTTTGTTTGTTTGTTTGTTTTTGTTTTTGTTTTTGTTTTTGTTTGGTTTTTTATTATTATTATTTTTATTTATTTTTACTGAGGTTTTTTGTCTTTTCCTTCTCCAGCTCGTGAGGTGCCCCCAGAGCAGAGCTCGGAGGGGCTGGGCCTGGGGGCAGGAGAGGACTGGCTTTGCGGAGGGGTTGGGCACTACCAGGCCTGATCCTGGTGGGAGAAAGGAAGGGAAAGTCCCATTTTGGGTGTTGAGCAGCCTGGCAGGCAGGTCTCTCACTGCCTTGCTCTGTGCTCATCTCTCATGCAAGAATTAGCCAAGGAAATAATAATCATCATCATAATAATAATGCTATGGTAGATATTGTATTATTCATAGAATCACAGAAAGGTTTGGGTTGGAAGGGACCTTAAATCCCATCCAGTGCCACCCCCTGCCATGGGCAGGGACACCTTCCACTAGTCCAGGTTGCTCCAAGTTTATCCAACCTGGCCTTGGACACTTGCAGGGATCCAGGGGCAGCCACAGCTTCTCTGGGCAACCTGGGCCAGGGCCTCTCCACCCTCACAGCCAACAATTCCTTCCCAATATCCCATCTATCCCTGCCCTCTGTCACTTTGAATCCATTCCCCCTTGTCCTGTCCCTCCAGCCCTTGGAAATAGTCTCTCCCCATCTTTCCTGTGGCTCCTTCAGGCCCTGCAAGTCCACAATCAGTTCCCCCCAAAGCTTCTCCTCTCCAGGCTGAACAATCCCAGCTCTCCCAGCCTTTCCTCCCAGCAGAGCTGCTCCAGCCCTCAGACCCTCTTGGTGGCCTCCAAGAGGTCACTGCACGAGGTCCCTCAACCATTGCTGGGCCTCACACACGACCCTGCAGAGTCTTTGTGGCCCCAAAACACCAAAACACACGGTGGGGAAAACCCCCTGCAGGGACAGAAGGAGCTGAGGGAAAAGCCTGGGAAGAGGGAAGGCAGGAGGACAGAGCAGTGCCTGGGGCTGAAGTGGCCCAACAGCAAATCCTGGGGCCACAGAGACCACCCGGAGCAAGGAAGGACAACGACAAATCCCCGGGAGTGGGGGGGGAAAACAACCCCTGCCCTGGGCAAGGAAACCCCCTTCCAACACAGAACCCACCCACTGCTGGGAACAGCAGCAATTCCCTGCTTTAGGAATTCCCTGCTTTAGGAATTCCCTGCTTTAGGAATTCCCTGCTTCCTCACAGGGAATCATTCTAATTCTTAATAATTCCTCTTATTATTTCGCAGAGCTCATCTTCCCCCTTCTCCCCTCTGGGTCACCAGACACGGAGCTGAATCTCCATCCACCCCCAGGAAAGCACAAAAATGCTTTTAAAACACAAGAATTCCCAACAACTGGCACAAAGAGTCGTTCCCAGCATCCCACGGGATGACTGACGGGAGCTCCCGGCCAATATTTGACTTTCCAGGTGAGATTAGATTGAGCTTTTCACTAAACATACACAAAAAGTGTGCAGTGCAAGGCACTTCTGTCACGTCCAGCAGGCTGGAGGCTGCTCTCTTTTGGAGATCATCCCCTTACTATCCAGTGGAATTTGGAAATCCCCAGTGAATCTCCTGGAAAAGGACAGGGGGAAAGGTGAGTTTCTCTCCGTAATTATTTTCTATTGGAAGAATAGAGCAATTTTTGTTCTGAATCAAAGCAAAAGCAGAGAAATTTTACAGAGAGAAAAGTTTCAAGGTAGTTTGTATTTATATTTGCTTATAATTTCATTAATTGCCTTTATCCTCTATGCCTGAGCATGTGTGAGAGTATAATGTCAGTATAATCTGAATTCATATAATTCAGTGTAATCTGCATGTGGACCTTCATCCTTCTGTGTGTGCCACAAGGCTGGGCCCAAAATCCAAGGAATTCCCAAATTCCAGTTTGAAAGATCCCCCAAATTTCCTATGAATGCTGAAAATCCACCCCCTCTTGCCCCAGGCTGCAGCAAACTCCTCGTGGCTGGAGGATTGACCTGAGATCAAGTGGCTCTTTTTGGGAGCTTTCCACAGCTTGGAGGGTTTGGTTGGCCTGAAGAATAGAAGGAATTCACTTCCCTGTGTCCATAGGGATGAGGATCAGCCTCGCCCTGGGTGGGAAGGTCCCATCCCTCCCTGAGAACCCCCGGGAAGTGGCTGGAGTGGAACCTGCCAGCCCTTAGAGGACCTGACCTCTGCTTTGGCTTCTCCTCAGGAGAAATCCTTCTGCTCTTGGTGTCTCCCGTCTGTAGGGAAGGGACTGTCCCTCAACCCCCCTGAGGTGGCTCAGGGGGGCCCAAACTCCCTGGCCCTCAGCAAAGCTTCCCACAGAGCAAAGAGACCTCTTGGAGGCCACCTGGATGATCCCAGGGCTGGAGCAGCTCTGCTGGGAGGAAAGGCTGGGAGAGCTGGGATTGTTCAGCCTGGAGAAGAGCTGGGATTTGTCGTTGTCCTTCCTTGCTCCGGGTGGTCTCTGTGGCCCCAGGATTTGCTGTTGGGACACTTCAGCCCCGGGCACTGCTCTGTCCTCCTGCCTTCCCTCTTCCCAGGCTTTTCCCGCAGTTGCTTCTGTCCCTGCAGGGGGTTTTCCCCACCGTGTGTTTTGGTGTTTTGGGGCCACAAAGACTCTGCAGGGTCGTGTGTGAGGCCCAGCAATGGTTGAGGGACCTCGTGCAGTGACCTCTTGGAGGCCACCAAGAGGGTCTGAGGGCTGGAGCAGCTCTGCTGGGAGGAAAGGCTGGGAGAGCTGGGATTGTTCAGCCTGGAGAGGAGAAGCTTTGGGGGGAACTGATTGTGGCCTTGCAGGGCCTGAAGGAGCTCCAGGAAAGATGGAGAGAGACTATTTCCAAGGGCTGGAGGGACAGGACAAGGGGAATGGCTTCAAACTGCCAGAGGGCAGAGTTAGATGGGATATTGGGAAGGAATTCCTGGCTGGGAGGGTGGAGAGGCCCTGGCACAGAGAGGTTGTGATGCCCCATCCCTGGAAGTGTCCAAGGCCAGGTTGAAGCAACCTGGTCCAGTGGAAGGTGTTGGGGGTTGGAACTGGATGATATTCAAGGTCCCTCCCAATCCCAACCATTCCAAGACCCCACTGGGTCTCTGAACACACTGAACCCCTGTCGTGGTTTGAGACCCCCAAAAATCCAATTTCCGAGTCCAAGCCCCCCTCCCACAACTCACCCCAGTGTGAAAGGGGTTTTCCAGACACAACACAAGACTCAATATGGGGGGGGGAAAGGAATTATATTACAGTCATTACACAAATAAATATTATAATACATTATATACACAATCCTAACTATCTCTCCTATGGTAAAGCAATATATTTACATTGGATCAAATCTCTTCTCCCTCCAACAACATCCTCATCCTTCTTTTCCAGTCTGGTGTGATAGGTTTAAATTTTGCAGGGGCACTGATTGGGTCAACATCAAGAGATCCCACCCCTTTGGGAGTTACCATTTTTTTTAACTCCAGGGGGAAAAATCCTTTTTTCCCCACCACAACCCCTCAGACTGGGGATTCTCAGCTGCCTTAAAATGGCCCTTCCAAGCAGCAGAGGGGGTGTTGGTCATGAATTGTCCTCACGCAGACCAAACACAGCAGTGCAACTCTTTGATCACTGCCATCTGATTAAAATGAGCGTTGTGTTGTCCGCAGCGAGGATGGCCGAGGTGAAGAACCTCACGTGGGCGGTGGAGGACGTTTTCAAGGACACCTTTCTCAGCTACATGAACGGCTGGAGGAGGAACATGACGGAGGCGGCGACCAAGCTGCAGGCCCAGGTGGCGGCCGAGAACTTCGACTACGTCATCCTGTACCTGATGGTGATGATCGGGATGTTCTCCTTCATCATCGTGGCCATCCTGGTGAGCACCGTGAAGTCCAAGAGGAGGGAGCACTCCAACGACCCCTATCACCAGTACATCGTGGAGGACTGGGGAGAGAAGTACAAGAACCAGGTGCTGATCCATGAAAATCCGGGAGCGAGGGATAAAACGAGCCCCGAGTCGCCCTGAGTTTCGGGAAACGACGGCGGTGAGGAAATCAGGGAGTCACACACTGGGAACCCACTGGCATTATGAAAACCTGGGAAACTGTTCGTTAAATTAACACACAGGTCGAGGTATAACGGAGGAAACCAACTCTACTGGTTCCCATCGACCTTACTGGTTCCCATCCACCTTACTGGTTCCCAATCCACCTTACTGGTTCCCAATCAATCTTACTGGTTCCCATCAACCTGACTGGTTCCCAATTCACCTTACTGGTTCCCAACCCACTCTACTGGTTCCCAGTCCACCTTACTGGTTCCCATCCACCTTACTGGTTCCCATCCACCTTACTGGTTCCCATCAACCTGACTGGTTCCCATCAACCTTACTGGTTCCCAATCCACCTTACTGGTTCCCATCCACCTTACTGGTTCCCAATCAGTCTTACTGGTTCCCAGTTCACCTTACTGGTTCCCAATCAGTCTTACTGGTTCCCAGTCCACTTTACTGGTTCCCAACCCACCTTACTGGTTCCCATCAACCTTACTGGTTCCCAATTCACCTTACTGGTTCCAAATCAGTCTTACTGGTTCCCATCAACCTTACTGGTTTCCAATCAGTCTTACTGGTTCCCATCCACCTTACTGGTTCCCAGTCCACCTTACTGGTTCCCATCAACCTTACTGGTCCCAATCCACCTTACTGGTTCCCAACCAGTCTTACTGGTTCCCAGTCCACCTTACTGGTTCCCATGAGGACCTTGGCACAGCCCCTTGTGAAATTCCCAGGAAAAAATGTCTGTTTGTGCTTCGCTCTGAGATTTTCTGTTCTTCGGGAAAATAAAACCAAGAGAACGAATAATTTGATGATTTTGGCATCTTTTTTTCCAAATCCAGAAGCAGCTCTGCATGTTCCCACCTCGGAATAACTGCGAATTTGTGAAATGCTGACTTAGAGCTAAACCGAACGCCTTAAGCCCGGCTTAAAAATAACTCGCAAATATAGAGGAAAATCTCCAATCTCCATTTATTGAGTGAACAATGGGTTGGGATGTGAATCACAGGAGGCAACTTATCCCTCCACGCATTCACTCCAAACCAGTTTTTAATGCTCTGACTCCCATTTCCATGCCATTATTCCTTGGCAGCAAAGGTTGACTCAGGGCCTCCCGACAAGGCTGGTTTGTAGGAAAGCTGCTCAACTAAAAGCCTCATCCAAGAGCACGTCCTGGGCATCTGAGGCAGCTTCCAGAGGTTCATCCCCTGGCTTCAAGCCTGTAGCTGGCCAAGCTGACCCTCCTGCTGCTCCTTGGTTTTCCAGAGGAATCTGGGATGCGTTTGGATGACATCTGCTCATAACCAGATGTCTGTCACCAGTGAGGGCTCGGTTGAAACCACCCAGATTTCACCTTCTGGCTTTCACACCCCAAATTTCCACACCCAGCCATCAAAGCTGTCCCATTTCTATGCTTCCTGAGGGATTCTCATACTGATTCCTCCTTTCCACTGGCTGGGAAACGGGTTTCCAAGATGCTTTGCCTTCTGTGAGGCTGAAGTATCACAACTCTCGGGGGGTAATGAGAAGCAGAAGTGGTGTCACTTCTACCATTAAAACACGTTTCAATTTGTAAGGCTTTGGGTTTAGCTCCTGCCAGACTTAAACCACTTCAAGTCACATTTCCAGAGCTGGCTGGCTGTCCTGTGGGCTTGTTTGTTATTGGAAGGTTTTGGCTGGTGCCACGTTTTTGGACAGTTTTTGCTTTGCTCGTGTTAAAAAATAAATGAAAAAAGGGGCTGCTTCTCATTGGGAAGCTTTGGCTCATTTTGGAGACTGGTCTGGAGATTTGGCACAGCAGAAGCTGTCACGGGCCAGATGTGCTGGAGGTGCACGAGAGGCATGACCAGAAGGTCAAGGGAAGGGGTTCTCCCCCTCTGCTCCTGTGAGACCCCCCTGCAGAGCTGCTCCAGCCCTGGGGAACAGCCCAGCAAGGACATGGAGCTGCTGGAGAGAGGCCAGAGCAGGAACCAAGAGGATCCCAGGGCTGGAGCAGCTCTGCTGGGAGGAAAGGCTGGGAGAGCTGGGGGTGTTCAGCCTGGAGAAGGCTCCAAGGAGACCTCAGAGCCTCTTGCAGGGCCTAAAGGGGCTCCAGGAAAGATGGTGAGAGACTATTTCCAAGGAATGGAGGGCCAGGACAAGGGGGAATGGCTTCAAACTGGCAGAGGGCAGGAATAGATGGGATATTGGGAAGGAATTTCTCCCTATGAGGGTGGGGAGGCCCTGGCCCAGGTTGCCCAGAGCAGCTGTGGCTGCCCCTGGATCCCTGGAAGTGTCCAAGGCCAGGCTGGACACCTTCCACCAGCCCAGGTTGCTCCAAGCCCCGTCCAACCTGGCCTTGGACACTTCCAGGGATCAAGGGGCAGCCACAGCTTCTCTGGGCAACCTGGGCCAGGGCCTCCCCACCCTCACAGGGAGAAATTTCTTCCTAGTATATAAATCCCAATATCTCATCTAACCCTACTCTCTGGCAGTTTGAAGCCATTCCCCCTTGTCCCGTCACTCCAGCCCTTGGAAATAGTCTCTCTCCATCTTTCCTGGAGCTCCTTCAGGCCCTGCAAGGCCACAATCAGTTCCCCCCAAAGCTTCTCCTCTCCAGGCTGAACAATCCCAGCTCTCCCAGCCTTTCCTCCCAGCAGAGCTGCTCCAGCCCTGGGATCCTCTTGGTTCCTGCTCTGGCCTCTCTCCAGCAGCTCCATGTCCTTGCTGGGCTGTTCCCCAGGGCTGGAGCAGCTCTGCAGGGGGGTCTCACCCAAGGGGGCAGAGGGGCACAATCCCCCCCTGCCCTGCTGCCCACGCTGGGGGATCAGCCCAGGGAATGGCCGCCCCACAGCTCCATCCATGCCCGGGAAGCAGCCGCGCTGCTCGGGGCGGGCTCAGCCTCACGCTGGGCGGGCGGAGCGGCCCCTTCCCGGGGCTGCCGGGAGCTGCAGTTCCCACAGTTCCTGCCGTTCCCGTGTCCCCCTGTCCCCGTGTCCTGCCCGCCATGGCCGCCCCGTGAGGTAGGACACGCGTCCCTGGGCCTGCCCTCCCCTCACGGAGCCCCGGGGGACCGGCCCGGAGGGGGAGAGGGCACCGAGGGCCCTGCCCGGAGCGCTGCGCTGCCCGCGGCCTGCGCCGCCTCCCGCCCGGCCCTGCCTGCCCTCCTGCCCGTCCTCCTGCCCGGCCCTGCTCGCCCTGCCTGTCCTCCTGCCCTCCCACCCACCCTGCCTGCCCTCCCACCCGGCCCTGCCTGTCCTCCTGCCTGCCCTGCCCTGCCCTGCCTGCCCTGCCTGTCCTGCCTGACCTCCTACCCGGCCCCTGCCTGTCCTGTCTGTCCTTCCACCCGCCCGGCCTGCCTGTCCTCCTGCCTGCCCTGCCCGCCCTGCCCGGCCCCTGCTCACCCTGTCTGTCCTCCTGCCCACCCCTGCCTGTCGTGCCTGCCCTCCCACCCGGCCCTGCCTGTCCTCCTCCTGGCCCCTGCCCACCCTGCCTGTCCTCCTGCCCAGCCGACCTTCCTCTGACCCTTCTCCACCCCCCTCCTTGCTCTCCATCCCCCCCTTGTTCTTCAACCCCCTTCCTTGTTCTTCTCCCCCCTCCCTTCTTTACTTTTCTCTCCCCTCCCTTCCTTGTTTCCTTGCTCTCCAGCCCCCCCTCCGTGTTCACCAGACCCCTTCCTTACCCTCCAGGCCTTGTTCTCCATCCCTCTTCCTTGTTTTTCAACCCCCTCCTCCTTGCTCTCCATCCCCTTCCTTGTTCTCCATCCCCCCTTGCTTGATCTTCTTCCCCTCTTCTTTGCTCTCCATACCTGCCTTGCTCTCCAGCCCTCTTCCTTACTCTCCAGCCTCCCTTCCTGGTTTCCTTGTTCTCCAGGCCCTTCTCCTTTCTCTCCAGCCTCTTCCTTGTTCTCCTTTTCCTCTTCCTCGCTCTCCATCCTCCTTGCTCTCCATCCCCCTCCTTGCTCTCCATCCCCCTCCTTGCTCTCCATCCCCCTCCTTGCTCTCCATCTCCCTTCCTTACTCTCCATCCCCCCTCCTTGCTCTCCATCCCCCCTCCTTCCTCTCCATCCCTCTTCCTTCCTCTCCATCCCTCTTCCTTCCTCTCCATCCCTCTTCCTTCCTCTCCATCCCTCTTCCTTCCTCTCCATCCCTCTTCCTTGCTATTCCCCCCCCTTCCCTGTTCTCCACCCCCTCTCTTACTCTCCAGTCCCCATTCCTTGCTCTCCAGTCCCCATTCCTTGTTCTCCAGCCCGGGGCAGAGCTGGGCTGGGCTCAGGGGAGGTGCCTCCTGCAGACCCTTCCCAAGGTGGGACAGAACCACACCAGGGTTTGGGCTGGAAAGGCCCTTAAGGATCATCTCATTCCATTCCCTGCCACGGACAGGGACACCTTCCACCAGCCCAAGTTGCTCCAAGCCCCGTCCAGCCTGGCCTTGGACACTTCCAGGGATCGCCACAGCTTCTCTGGGCAACCTGTGCCAGGGCCCCCCCACCCTCACAGCCAAGAATTCCTTCCCAATATCCCATCTAACCCTGCCCTCTGGCACTGGGAAGCCATTCCCCCTTGTCCCCAGTCCCTCTCCAGCTCTCCTGGAGCCCCTTTAGGCCCTGGAAGGGGCTCTCAGGTCTCCCTGGAGCCTTCTCTTCTCCAGATGAACACTCCCAGCCTGGCTCCAGAGCAGAGGGGCTCCAGCCCTGGGATCTTCTTCCTGGCCCTAATGCTGCCCTGGGAGCCAGGATGGAACAGCTGAGATGCCACTGGCATTTCTGCTCGGGATCTGCCTTTAATCCAGGCACTGTGACTGATCCATCCCATCCCATCTGCTCCCTTCTTATTTTCCACAGTTTGGAGCCCGTGAGGAGCTGCCAGAGGAATCACTGATGTTTTCATTTCAGCTTTGTCAGGTGTGAAGATCTTATGTGGCTCTCGGTGTTTATTTAATTGTTTTCAGTTGGAACCTTGAGTTCCTTCAGTTGATCCAAAATCAGAACCACGGAGTGGTTTGGGCTGGTTTGAGCTTAAATCCCATCTCATTCCACTCCCTGCCACACCTTCCACTAGCCCAGGTTGCTCCAAGCCCCATCCCGCCTGTCCTTGAGGAGTGAAACCCCTTTTCCAGCTCAGCACATCCCCTTCCAGTGCAGTCGGTGGTTGGTGCTCTCTGAGGCCTCGTGACTTTTGTAACCAAGTGGATCCAATGGAGCTGTTCAAAATCCCCAAAGGAGTGTCCCAGGGTTAGTTGGGTGGCTGGAGCTGTTGGCAGAGTGGGATGTCCAGCCAAGACAACTCCAGTGGGTCAATGAGTTCCCACGTGGTCGTGTGGATGTTCTCTGGCGGTCAATCCGTGCTCTGGCCAACGATGCCATGGGAGGTGGGCTGGGATGTGTTCCCTGTGGTGGACTGGAGCTGTAATCCAGTGGCTGAGAGACCTGGATTCAGTTCTGGGCTCCACCACAGGCTTCCCACCTCACCGGGGCCCAGCTGGGACGGTCCGTGCTGCACAACGTCGTGCAGAGATCCCGGGGCTGGGATCAGCTAAGCCAGGCTCGGGGCTTGGTGCAGCCCTTGGGCCTGCTGAGGACACGACCCAGAGGATCCCACAGCGTTTGGAGCTCCCGGAGAACTTCCAGTGCAGTGCTGAGGTGGGATGTGGGCAAAGCCTCTCCTTTCCCACTGCGGGAGTTTGATCTGCACCCCTGAGGGAACAGGGAGGGATTGGGAGCTGCAATCCCAGTGAACACATGGGAGACTGATTCCATTTGATGCCGTGTTGGATTCTCATGGAGCATCCATCCTGGAATATGTGTCAGGGCTCCAGGCAGAGCCTGGTGCTCCTGTTTTTCCCTCACGTGGCTCCACACGAGACCTCCTTGCTTGGCAGTGAAGGTAACCCTGGCCTTCTGTGGGGCCCAGGAGTGTTTGGCCAGGGATTTGCCTGGGGAATGAACAATGCCTGCCTGTGGATGTGTTCCCTGCTCCTATCTGGGCCTTATCAGCCTCAGGAAAGGGCAAACACAAAATTCCAGCTGTTTATTTGCCCACAGGCTTTTAAGATACCACAACCTTGGGTGTCTGAGCTTTTGTGCTCCTGGATTGACAACCCCAGTGCTGAGAAATGTTGGATTGTCATCGACCCCTGGAATGGTTTGGGTTGGAATGGGCTTTAAAGATCATCCAGTTCCAATCCTGGACACCTTCCACTATCCCAGATTGCTCCAAGCCCTGTCCAAGCTGGCCTTGGGCACTTCCAGGGGTGGGGAGTCCACAGCATCTCTGGGCAAAATCCTGGCTTTTTCCCCTCCTCTTCCCACTTTCTTCTCCCTGCTCTGTGCTCCAGCTTCACCCACGTTTTTCACTCCTGGGGTTTCATATTCCAAAAGGGCAGGATCAAATGGAGCCTGGAAGAGTCAAGAGGTGGAATGAGGAGAAGTCCTTGGCCACTGGAGGTTGGTGGCACAGGATGTGGGAATGCAGCATGGAGGGAACAGATATCCCAAGTGTCAGCTCTCCCAGGAAATGTTTTGGGATTATAAAGAAGGCTGGAGAGAGACTTTGGACAAGGGCATGGAGTCACAGGACAAGGGGGAATGGCCTTGAGCTGAAGGAGGGCTGGGGTAGATTGGATTTGAGGAAGACATTCTTGGCTGTGAGGGTGGTGAGGCCCTGGCACAGAGAGGATGGGAATGTCCCATCCCTGGAAGTGTCCAAGGCCAGATTGGACAGGGCTTGGAGCAACCTGGGCTGGTGGAAGTTGTGCAGGATTGGAATGAGATGATCTTTAGGGTCCCTTCCAACCCAACCCATTCCATGATTTTGGATCAAAACCCCACTCTTGAGAACACAGGGAGAATTTCTTTACTTCCCATCCTGTGTGACTCCTGAGGGACACACAGTCCAGGCAGATTCCAGCTCCTCTCTCAGCAGAGCCGGAATATTCCAGCAGTGTTGGCTGAATAATCCCAACCAAGGGCTGAATAATCCCAACCAAGTGTTTTGAGGTGAGGACACCCCACGTGGTCCCTTTGGATCGGGTCAGGTTTGGATCACTTGGATTTTTGAGGAGCATCCAAAACCTTCTGAATCCTGCCCTGGGAACCAGATTCTGCTCTGCTGTGGGATTTTTCTTGTGCCCATCAGGCAGGGGACTTCATGTCTGAATGGTTGCTGGAATTGTGGAGGCAACATCAGAAATTCCTAAAAGAAAGATGGAGAGGAACTTTTTCCAAGGGTCTGGAGCACCAGGACAAGGGGAATGGTTTTAATCTGAAGGAGAACAGGGTTAGATGGGATGTTGGGAAGGAATTCTTCCCTGTGAGGGTGCTGAGGAGCTGGGATAGAATTCCCAGAGAAGCTGTGGCTGCCCCTGGATCCCTGGAAGTGTCCAAGGCCAGGTTGGAGCTTGGAGCAACCTGGGAGAGTGGAAGGTGTCCAGGGCTGGAACAAGATGGTCTTTAAGGTCCCTTCCAACCCAGAGCAGTCTGTGATTCCATGATGCCATGAAGTCCAAACACCTGGGTTTGGAGGTGTCCTTAGTTCACCTGTCCTGACATTTCCTCAACAGAAAAATAAGGGAACTTGGATATGGTTGGATCTCCAGAACAGTGTCTCTGGAGTGTCTCTCCAGGGGGATGTCCCAGCTGGAAGGGAGGGTTTGCAGCTGTGGGAAAAGGAGGGAAGAGGATTCCCTGGCTGGGGAAATGAGAACATCTTCTGTCTGAACAGAGCACTTGTTTGACTCCTGGTTTCTCAGGCACTTCCCAACCCTCAGGAACTCATCCCTGGAATGTGTGTTGCCCACCCAGGGAGTGGTGTCTTTGCTAAGGTGTTATTTTCAGCGTGGAGGATTTAATTGAAGTTACAGTTTTAATGTGGAGGAGTTAACTCATTAGTAAATCAGAGAGAAGTGGTAAATCAGGGTAGATTCCCGAATTTATTGGGCATTCAGGCTCCAAACAGGGCAGGTGGGCTGGGAAACCACGAGAAGCTCTTCTGGGAGCCTTGGTGTCCTGGAGCTCTCAGGCACCACCCAGGCACAGGGTGGAGCTTCCCAAAGCTGTGTTTTCCAAGGGGGAGCTGCTGGGCTGTGGAATCCCAGCCCTGCCACCTGTCCAGGGCCTGTCAAACCCCCTGTCCTTCCACAGGGACGCTGCTCCTGTCACTCAGCTCCCAAAAAAGCCCAGGGGGGGTCATTTGGGAAGCCGAGACACTGCCGGGCACACGAGCCCGCTGGAGGTGCAGGGTTGTCCTGCTGGGTGGAAGCAGGTTGTCTAATTCTCTTTTAACTTTAATCCCCATTTCTCCAAGATCTGATTTGGCTTTAATTCCCATTTCTCCAAGATGATCCCGCCCCCCCGTGTGACTTCAGGAGCGTGACGCGTGTGCCGGAGTCGGTGTCACCCCGCGGCCGAGATGGTGGCATTCAACTGGAAGGTGAGGCTGTTCCACATTCCTAAAGCTGCTGTGTCTGTAGAAATCTGTGAAATCTCTGCTTTTGCTTTGATTCAGAACAAAACTTGCCGTGCTCTTCCAATGGGAAATAATTACGGAGAGAAACTCACCTTTCCCCGTGTCCTTTTCCAGGAGATTCACTGGGGATTTCCAAATTCCACTGGATAATAAGGGGATGATCTCCAAAAGAGAGCAGCCTCCAGCCTGCTGGACGTGACAGAAGTGCCTTGCACTGCACACTTTCTGTGTATATTCAGTGAAAAGCTCAATCTAATCTCACCTGGAAAGTCAAATATTGGCCGGGAGCTCCCGTCAGTCATCCCGTGGGATGCTGGGAACGACTCTTTGTGCCAATTGTTGGGAATTCTTGTGTTTTAAAAGCATTTCTGTGCTTTCCTGGGGGTGGATGGAGATGCAGCTCCGTGTCTGGTGACCCAGAGGGGAGAAGGGGGAAGATGAGCTCTGCGAAATAATAAGAGGAATTATTAAGAATTAGAATGATTCCCTGTGAGGAAGCAGGGAATTCCTAAAGCAGGGAATTCCTAAAGCAGGGAATTCCTAAAGCAGGGAATTGCTGCTGTTCCCAGCAGTGGGTGGGTTCTGTGTTGGAAGGGGGTTTCCTTGCCCAGGGCAGGGGTTGTTTTCCCCCCCCACTCCCGGGCATTTGTCGTTGTCCTTCCTTGCTCCGGGTGGTCTCTGTGGCCCCAGGATTTGCTGTTGGGCCACTTCAGCCCCGGGCACTGCTCTGTCCTCCTGCCTTCCCTCTTCCCAGGCTTTTCCCTCAGCTCCTTCTGTCCCTGCAGGGGGTTTTCCCCACCGTGTGTTTTGGTGTTTTGGGGCCACAAAGACTCTGCAGGGTCGTGTGTGAGGCCCAGCAATGGTTGAGGGACCTCGTGCAGTGACCTCTTGGAGGCCACCAAGAGGGTCTGAGGGCTGGAGCAGCTCTGCTGGGAGGAAAGGCTGGGAGAGCTGGGATTGTTCAGCCTGGAGAGGAGAAGCTTTGGGGGGACCTGATTGTGGCCTTGCAGGGCCTGAAGGGGCTCCAGGAAAGATGGGGAGAGACTATTTCCTAGGGATGGAGGGACAGGACACAGGGAATGGCTTCAAACTGTCAGAGGGCAGGGAGAGATGGGATATTGGGAATTCTTCCCTGTGACTGTGGTGAGGGGCTGGAATTGAATTCCCAGAGAAGCTGTGGCTGCCCCTGGATCCCTGGAAGTGTCCCAGGCCAGGTTGGAGCAACCTGGGATATTGGAAGGTGTTGGGGTTGGAACAAGATGGTCTTCAAGGTCCCTTCCAACCCAAACCATTCCATGATTCCATGATTAACAATTTAACATGTTAATCAAGCCATTTATCAGGACAGCAGTGCCAACCCCCAGCCCTGGCTTTACTTTCCTGCTGTTACAGAGCTGTTGACTTGGACAGATTCCCACTTTTAATATATGAGGAAGCTGCTGTTGTTTTTCTGAGCCTATGGATCCAAGGCTTTTCCCAAATCCAGTAGTTTGATGATGTCCAGGCAGCTTTATGAGGTGCTGGAAGGCTGAGAGTACAGCAAATATTCCAAGTTCACAATGTTATCATGGAATCATGGAATATCCTGAGCTGGGAGGGACCCCCAGGGCTCATCCAGCCCAAGCCCTTTTCCAGCTCCAGGTCCTGGGAATATTCCATTGGCTGCAAAACCAACCCAGACCTGTCCCAGGGGGCTTCTCCATTTTTTTACATTCAGGTACAACTTGAGTGAAGGGGATTTGTCTTTGGTTTTTCCCCTAATTGTTGATCTGCCTGCTTTAAAGTTCCCTGCAGGAATAAAAACCCTTGGACAGAGGAGCCTTTTCAGCACCTGGATAAATGCTGTTGCTGGAGGGGAGCTTTAGAACATCCCTGTAAATGCATTTGGAATTATCCAAGTGTTCCAGTAAGTGCCTCCATCTATTCTTTGGCATTCCAGGCTCTGGAGAATTTCCCATTGCTGATGTACATTTTGGCAGCTAAAACATTGATCCTCTGCTTGGCGTTTGCTGGGGTGAAAATGTACCAGAGCAAAAAAATTGAGGAAAAACTGAAGAGGGAACGGGAAGAGAAGCTGAAAGGAGAAGCAGAGAAGAAGGAGGATTGAAGAGTCCCTCAGGTATGGAATTTATTCCACATCCTGCTCTTCCCTCGTGGCACTGACACGTTAATCCCATTATTTTGGGGTTGGATTGTGCCATTTGAACCATCAAATCATGCCCATCTCAGTTGGAATTCCAATTAAACTTGGCAGCCAGGCTCAGGTTTGAGGGTGTCTTAGCACAATATTCCTTCTCTGCTCCTTATCTCCCTGGATTTTGAGGCCCAGGAAATGCTGGGGCTGCCAGAGAGGGTGAAATGGGGCAGGAAATGCAATCAGAGCTCTTGGCCTCAAGTCACATAATTAATGAGAAAATAATCAGCCATTCTGGATTGGTTAAATCCCTGACAAGCTGGGAGTTCAGCTGGGAAGGCCAAATCCATGCCAAGGAACAGGTTATTTGGTATAACATCCACCATATATAATGCACTGAGAAAACTGCTCATCTCTCAGCACAAAAAGAACAAAATGAACATCACATTCCTTAAAATTTGGGGGTTTCATTCCCCAAGTGCAGAATTCCTGCCCTGTTTTCCAAGTTTAAGCAGCCTTGGATCAAATCCATTATTAAAATGAGTCCTGCCTGGTGCTCAGATTCTATTCCCTGACTTGTTTGTGATTTTTTGGTATCATTTTGCTCCCTGTTATGCAAAAAAAAAAAGGGAATTTTTATAATTCTCTTCCTGCCCCGTGTGAGCTCAGTGGGAGTTTGATGTCGTGTTATTCAGCTAAAAAAACTTCCTTTCCCCTCCTCAGGTTGTTCCCTCACACCTGAAACCACTTCCAACCTTCCAAAATGTTCAGGAGCTTTTATTTCCAACCTTCCCCTTGTTTTATTCCCTGCAACGAGGGTTGGGAACTGTGCCTAGAAATGAGGAATAACCCTGGGAACCATTTGCAAAGGGGAAAAACCAACACAACCAAAGGTGTTTTTCCAGTCTCCTGTTTGGCTCCGAGGGAGGGTTTGGATTTGGGCAGATTTGGAGCTTTTCTTGGGAATCAGTTTTGCTGTTTTCTGGGAAAACAGGAGAAGGCGGAGTCAGAGGGATTTTATCCTTCTTACATTTTACAATTTCAATTACAATTTACATTGCAATTCAAATGATTACGTGGAATTTTATCCCTAAAACAGATGAAAATTGAGCTGCCCTTGCAAGGGAGCAAAAGCTGCTGCTTGGCATGAGGTGACCAGAGTGATCCCAATCCCTCTGGGGGCTCCCCATCCCTGGAATTGCAGGGATGGATAAGGATTGGAGCAACCTGGCCTATGGAAGGTGTCCCTGCCCCTGGCAGGGGGTGCCACTGGATGAGCTTTAAGGTGCCTCCCAACCCAACCCATCCCATGATTCTGTGATTCCATGCTGTGTGTGCAGCGTTTTCCAGGGAATTCTGTTGGGAGAGCCCACATCCCAAGGGATTTCTGCAGCAGCTCATCCCACAGGGATGAGCCTGTGGGATGTCCAGCCTGTGCCATCCCCCCTGGTGAATGGCATTAAAACATCCCTGATTTCCCAGAGGACACCCAGGGGGCCTGGTCATTCCCAAATTCTGCCATCCCTCAGCCGTGTCCTTCCGTGCTGGGATAGAGGGGAGGGAGGGAATTCTCCCCCAGCAGATTTATTCCTGGTGCTCTCACTGCTCTCTCCTCACCCTGCAGAATTCCTGACACTTGGCAGCTCGTGCTGGATTCCTTTCCCAGGAGGGTGAAGCCTTCCTGGAGATGAAGGATGTGTCAGAGGAATAAAACCCTGGAGAGAAACATCCACTTCAGCTGGATCTCCGTTTTTTCCGTGGACAGAGAAGGATTTCAGCCTCTATTTGTGCAATAAAAAACCCCTTTGTTAAAAATAAAAATAAAGCCCTGGCCTCGTTTGCTGCTTGTTTAAAAGATTAGAGCTGCAGGGGAGGTGGTTTTTAAGGAATACCTGCCAGGAGGTGGTTGGGTTTAAAGGGAAAAGTGCCTGAATCCATCAGGGAGGAGCAGAAGGTTCTTGGAGAGGCAGAAGGAAAAGGAGAGGACTCTGTGCAGCTTCTCAGAGCAGCTCGTTCCTGCAGGGGGGTCAGTCCCGGGGGCCCTTTGTAGAACCAGAGGAACAGAGCCAGGAGAGGAGCTTTGCCAGGAAAACCCCTCTGTGCATCCAGGACTTCCTTGGATTCCTGCAGATCACGGGGTCACCTCTGAGGAAGTTTCGTGGCAAGAGTTTTATTCTGATAAAATGGAATTTTTGGCTCTTTGTTTACTCCTCAACTCCTGCCATAGCACCAAATCCTGGGGGATATGCCAGCTTGGTCATGGAATCCTGGAATCCTGGAATGGTTTGGGTTGGGAGGGGCATTAGAGATCCTCCATTCCCACCCCCTGCCATGGGCAGGGACACCTTCCACCAGCCCAGGGTGCTCCAAGCCCCGTCCAACCTGGCCTTGGACACTTCCAGGGATCCAGGGGCAGCCACAGCTTCTCTGGGAATTCCATCCCAGCCCCTCCCCACCCTCCCAGCCAGGAATTCCTTCCCAATATCCCATCTAGCCCTGCCCTCTGGTAGTTTGAAGCCATTCCCTGTGTCCTGTCCCTCCATCCCTTGTCCCCAGTCCCTCTCCAGCTCTCCTGGAGCCCCTTTAGGCCCTGCCAGGGGCTCTCAGCTCTCCCTGGACCCTTCCCTTCTCCAGGGGAACCCCCCCAGCTCTCCCAGCCTGGCTCCAGAGCAGAGGGAGGTTCATCACTAGTTATAAATAGATATAAATAGATATAAATAGATAGAAATAGATAGAAATAGATATAAATAGATAGAAATATCTGTACAGATCTAGAGAAACACAGAACTGAAGGCTCAGGCACGAGCAGCCCTCAGGAACTTTTGCCTTCCTGCTTCCCTTCTCATTCCCACTCCCTTTTCCATCATCAAGCACTTCCCAGATCCTTGTGCCTTCCGGGGGTGCCGGGGCAGTGGGGAGGGAAGGGATGGAGGGCCTTGGAGAAGCCCTGGAATTCCAGCTGCTCCCGCTGGAGTCGCTCCCCGGGAACTGCAGTGAGGCCTCAAACCTGCTTTTCCTTCTGTCTCCCTGGAGACTGGAGCACAAAACACTGCGGGAATATTGTCCCCAGTCTGGAATTTTTAGACTCTCGAGAGTAGAATTTATAATAATAATAATAATAATAATAATAATAATAATAATAATAATAATAATAATAATAATAATAATAATAATAATAATAATAATAATAATTTTTAGACGAGAGTAGATTTTATTATAATAATAATAATAACAATAATAAGAATACTAACCATAATAATATAATAACAGTAATATTATTACAATATAATATTATTCATATTATTTTATGACTTATAAATCCTGCATATCTATAATTTAGATATTTAGATAGGCTCTGTATATAAATATATATTCAATATCTATAGATATAAAATATAGAATATAGAATACATCTATAAATATAGCATATATATTTAATATATAAAATTACATATAGTACATATTGTATATTTATATAATATATTCTATATAATGATATATTTATAATTTGTGTTATTTATACTATATAATATACTATATAAATATACTATACATATAGTATATATAAATATACTATATAAATATAATTTTATACAATATAACTATGTATTATATAGTATAATATAATATATATTATAAGTGATTATATTGTTTTATACAATTATTATTATTACTATTATTGCTATTATTATTACTATACTACATAACATACTATACATATATATACATATAGTATATTTAAATATACTAAATAAATATAACTATATATTATTATATAGTATAATATAATATAAGTGATTATATTGTTTTATATAATTATTATTATTACTATTATTGCTATTATTATTACTATACTTAATAATATTCTATACATATATATACATATAGTATATTTAAATATACTATATAAATATAACTATATATTGTTATATAGTATAATATAATATATATTATAAGTGATTATATTGTTTTATATAATAATTATTATTACTATTATTGGTATTATTATTACTATACTACATAATATACTATGTATATATACATATAGTATATTTAAATATACTATATAAATATAACTATATATTGTTATATAGTATAATATAATATATATTATAAGTGATTATATTGTTTTATATTATTATTATTATTATTATTATTATTATTATTATTATTATTATTATTATTATTATTATTATTATTATTTTAAACTACTTCAGTTGCTCTGGGAGCAGAATCCCAGGAACACAATCCCCCTTTCAGCCATTCAGCATCAAAACCTTTGGGCACCATTTGGCCTCCAAAGCAACCAAGGCCTAAAATCTGGAGGCCCTCCCTTAAAGAAGGGAATTCACTTCTTTTTTCCCTGGAATTAACACTTCCAGGATAACAACAGGTCATGTCCAGCCTTCTCCCTGGACAAGAGTCCGTGTTCTCTGGCCCAGCAGGGAGGGTTTGGGGTGTCCTGGCCAAGGCAGGGGCTTTTATCTCTTGTTTTCTGCAGCTCGAACAAGAAAATCTGCTGACACTGGGGGGAGACAGCAGCTCAGAATTCCTGCAGCTCAGAATTCCTGCAGCTCAGAATTCCTGCAGCTCAGAATTCCTGCAGCTCAGAATTCCCGGACAGGCACCTCGGACTCGGAAGGAATCCCAGGATCCCTGAGGCTGGAAAAGCCCTCCCGGCCCGCGGAGTCCCAGCCGTGCCCGGTGCCCACCCCGTCACCCAGCCCAGGGCACCGAGTGCCACGGCCAGCCCTTCCCTGGGCACAGAGGGCTTGGAAAACGAGCTTGGCACGTTTGGAATGGGAGGAGGGAATTCAGTTTGTGGGTGAGAGGAGGCAGCAGGAACAGAGAGCCTTGGATCAGAATCCCAGAACCATCAAGGCTGGAATATCCCATCCCACCCTCACCCAGCACCACCAGGATCACCCCTAACCCACGTCCCCGAGGGCCACGTGGCAGCTTGACCTACACAGGACCCTCCTGGAGATATTCCCATCCCAGGTCACACCCTGCTCCCACAGAACTACTCCCCTCTTCCAGAAAATTCCTCTTTTCCAAAGGAATGTTCAGGCTCCCTTGCCTTTCACTGTCGAATATTGTCGCTGTCCCCAGTGCCAACTGTCGAAGTCAGAAAATCAAAGGATTACTTTTCTTCACTGAAGGCTGTGTGGTCTTATCCAAAACTGAAATCCTTGGGGAGTATCAAAGGAGCTGTTGGGATTTAAGGGGAAAAAATTAAGCTCTCACAGGTTCTGGGATGACTCAGGTGGCTGCTGGAAGGGGGCTCTTCCAGTCCGAGGGAGCTCAGAGGTCCTTAAAATGAAAATAAGAAGGATTCAGCAGGACTGTTCCCTCCTTAGGCTTCGGCTGAACTGAACTCAGCTTAATTTTGAAGCTTTTAGTCTGAGGCTTTGGCCACAAACACGAGAGCACAGGGGCTGGAGGGAGGCCCAGCTCCCTGAGAGCATCCCAGGGCAGCTCCTCCAGGAGCCTCCCGGGCAAACAGCCATTCCCAACCTTTCCTTCCTGGCTTTTCCTCTCAGGAATCAGCCATTCCACCCGGCTTTTCTTGCCCTTCTCAGCAAATGTTGTGTCTGGGGGAGGGTCCTTGGTGTTCTCCAGCTCAAGGTTTGGCAGAGTTGTTTCTGAGGAGGCTTTAATTGGTGTGGCCCCTCATTAGAGCCAATGGGACACAACTCAGAGTTCATATTTGTTAATTATGTCTTGACCTCAGCACTCAAGGCCACTGAGGGGCTGAGTTTGCTGCCCTGGGCCAGTCCTGTGTCTGAGCATGGAATCCTGGAATACCCTGAGCTGGAAGGAACATCCCAGGATCATCCAGTCCAAGCCCTGGCCCTGCCCGGGACACCCCAACAATCCCCCTGTCCCTGAGGGCGTTTTCCAAAGGCTCCTTTAGCACAAATCCAATCCCAGTCCAGCTCTGGCTCCTGAACCTGGTTGGTCTTGGCTGCAGGAGCAAGTCCAGCCCATCAGCTCAGCTCAGCTGGGCCTTGCCTGGCAGATGTGGGGACCAGTCTGGGGGACAAGCACAGCCCCAGCTGGCCCTTCTCCGGAATTCCTGGTGGCTTCCAGGAGTTATCCCCACAGCCATGGCCTGCTCATACCTTCCTGCAGATAGAGAGTTTGAGCAGAGCTGGATAATCAGGAATGTATCCACGTGTTTCTCCCTATGGATCCATTTCTCCTGCTTAGGATCTGCTGAGGGAGCTGCTGGAAACGTCCCCTGTGTACAAACCTCCCATGGGGCTGTTCCCAGTGTATCCCAAGGCTCTCCAGTGGCTGCACAGAGTGGAGGATGGATGTGGATGCTTCCTATTGATGACTAAAACCACAGATGGGTGAATATCCCTTTTTATCACTCTTTTATTCTTGGATTTCCTCATCCTGGTTGGCTTTGGAGCTCAGCTCCAACGCTGTGGCCTTTTCCCAGTCCTGCAGCTCTTTTTATGTGCTGGGACTCAGATCCCTCTGGCCTAAACTCAGATCCCTCTGGCCTTAACTCAGATCCCTCTGGCCTTAACTCAGGCTCAATTCCTGGCTTGGTGCTTCTCCTTGATCTGAGGAGGCTCAGGGCCAGCCCAGGAGAAATGGCAGACATGGATATTGAGTCACAGAAATGAGTCTGGACCTCGTGTTTGTGTCCTAAAACAGGGTTGGTTTTGCATTTCTCCCCCATGCTCCTCCTGCTTCCCATCCCTCTGTCCGCTCCCCATGGAAGGAGGGAATGTCAAGGCCCAAGTCCCAGAGACAGAGGCTGGGCTTTGAGGGATCCCTGCTGGCTTTCCACCCTTCTGCCAGTTCCCAGGGATGG